CTGTTCAAGCGACTTGCTTGATCACTTTCTGATATCATGTCACACTTGCGCCTGCTACCTGTCTGCCGGTTTATAAGGTTACACCCCAGCTTGCTCATCAACCTACAGACGGGATACATGTGTAACTAATGCAAACAAGTATATTGTCTAATTCGCTATGTGGTTATCTAACTACTCAAAATGGATACAGCAGTACTGTTGGTCAAATTAACTTTAATCCTGACAGTAAACTAGTCACTCAGCCAACAAAGTAGTGTGAGTAGAAAAAGCAACAAAGTGAGTAGTTGAGTTGATTTTCTTCAGACGGTCGCACAGTGGTGACAAGCTTACTTCACTGAGGAAATTCATGCGTTTCAAATCGCTTTCGGTCATTTCCAGTTTGTGTTTCGCAATCTCGCCGGTTGTCTCCACCAGACGTCGTTCAGCCTCGGTCGTGATCTCCTTTTGTGTTTGCAAAAATTCCTCGCGTTCTCGAAGTGCCAGTTCTTGTTCATCCACGGTGAAATGCATTTCATTCAAACGCTGAATATCGGGAGTGAATGTGATTTCGAAGTATGGAGAAGAGCGGGGGAAGCAATCATTATTTTAGTCTTTCCTGTAAATCAGAGGCAATGAGGCTTTACAAAACATCAGTTTGAAACAACGGTCCACGTCGACAAATGGGATATAGAATAGAATGTATGTTATCAAGGGCTCTGTGCAAAAAAAACATTCTTAACTTTGTGTCCTTAAGCATACATGTGTGAATCCACCTCTGTTCGATTGCTTGCATACCTTCATAAATATGACGAACACGAAAGATTAGGATGCGCTTTTTATCTCCAATTCCATGAAAATCGACTCTCCTTAGAGAAGGCCGTCTGTTGCCGCGGTCGTATTGTTTTGCTTTACAGTTGCGAGATGTCACCCTTCCGTGCTTAGTATTCTAATTGACTTTTGCATTCAAACATCAAAGTTCTTGAAGCATCACTTCTAGGTTGGGGCCCAATGGATAAGGACTGTCTTTGCTAGAGACACCGAGAGATATGACTCAAAATAGAAGTTAGTGGAGCGAATCCTGTGCTGTTTGTCTTAAAATCCCGTGCTTCATAAAGCGACGAGTAAACGCAAACAACCGAAAGAGATCCAAAAAAGTACGGTTAAATAAATAACATAAATATTGTTTTTTAAATGCGGTGGAAATGTTTATTGATAAACGACAAAGCCCTGTTTCACAAGGCCGGATGCTTGTTCACTTCTTCGCTTCTTCTGATCATCCGTTCTGCTCCTGAGAGATCAATCGATCGGGGGAAGCAGCTTACCACTGCGTCCTCCCCGCGCTAAATGAACATAGGAAATTTGTATCTGGGGTTTCCTCTCAACAGATGAGAATGTTTTAGCGCATCACTGTACAGTTGTTACGCACCCAAACGGATTAGTCCATAGCCAATAAGGTGCATCAACCGAACAAGTGATGCGAAGTTAGGCCCAAAGTGGAAATTCCCTTTAATGCTGACGGTATTAGCTTGCTAATTAGCAAACGCCTAACGTTGGCTACTAGTATGTCATTCACGCATAGAATCCATGGCTAGGTGCTGATAAGAAAGAACTGGAATGTTCACAGAGCATAGCAGCCAAGATAATCAGAGTTTACAATTCAAGACCTATGGTAAAAGATTGCAAATTCTGGGACTCTATTAATCTCAATATCGCAAAATTTCCGGAGGAAATATCCTCGAATACCTAATACTGTGGTAATCTAAGCACCCTTGTTATAGTTGCCTAATACTATCCAGAAATGATCGTCTCATAGGACATCCCTTTAAACTTTTTCTCCAAAAACGTCAGTTTGACTGCAGGTGTCAGTCCGAGCATGTATTACATTGAACTCTCTTCCATACCAAGTTATTCATGCTCCAACCATCCATTTTTTAAGCAGTGGTACAACAAAGTATTGAAACAGTTAACTATATCCAGTACCCGTGAGTGAATGTGATAGTTGTTAATTTCCTTTTTAATATCATCCGAACCTATTGTGTACAGATTCTATAGGGCTCAATAATATATATATATATATACTTGACAATGGGCTTATTCTGGAATATATGTGATAAAAACCTAAACGCCCAATTTTTTATCCCTGATCAATCTCCTCTCGCTTTTATTGTTCGATAACTGGATAACATTTTAAACGTTTATCACGGACGAACAGTGCCATTTACGTGATGCTGTTCGAAATCCATCATCACTATTCAGCTTGGTTCACAAACAGTCTGGCTCAATATTGCACTTATTCCATTGTAGTTTTCACAATTTCAGTTCAAGGTTTTGAACTATCCACTTCAAAAATCAAACATTACTTCCGTCAGTAAAAATAGAAACCGGATAGTAAAATTTCTGTATGGTAGATGTAGATGTCTTTTTCGAAATGAGCTCTAGAATCTAATGCAAATGCGCGTGCGGCTTGACACGATTAATCGAGAATGAGTCATAAGAAACTTATCCCAACCTGTGAACTGTTGTTCTACTTTGCTAGCGGGATACGGGTCCTAGACTACACCGTTTGAAATACAAAGGTAACAGAACCGACAAAAGCTTTTATCTCCTATTTCTCGGACTAGCCCGTTCTGAACAGTCTCGGATGTTACCTGGGCAAACTGTCGCAGTTCCTCATCCCGTTCACGCATTCTATTGATCACTTGTTCCCATTGTGCAATCAACTTGTCTCGCTCGTTGTACGCGATTCGAGCCTCTTCACTGGCTCGATCCAATGCGACCTGATTGGTCTGCGTTTTAATATAGATGTTATCCAATTTGGTCTTTTTCTCACGTAAATTGTCCGTCAAACGCTGCATTTCCAATTCCAGCTCCTATCAATCGATTAATGCAAGAGAAGGGGTCGGGAGTGGAGAAGAAATAAATAAAGCCAAAGTGTTCGATATATAAGGGAACAACAATCCACGGGGAATAACAATGTCACTGGAACAGCGTACTTTGATTTTGGAATCATCCTGGCGAATGTACTTTTTCATTATCATCATATCCTCGTCTCGTTCCTCAATTTTACTCATCCATTCATTCAGTCCTTGTTTATCCTGAGTCATTTTGCGTGTAGCATTCTCCAGCTCGGTTCGTTTTGTGAATGCTAAATTCTAAACAGATTTTTGTGATATTCAAACATACATAGGTGAGAACGGCAAGTATATTACCTCTAAACAGCATTTACGTTCACGAACTTCCTCGCGCAAGTTTTTCAGTTTCTCCAGTTCCACTTTCATTCTGCCCTCCTCACGTTCAATGATTTTTTGCTGATGTTTTTCTGCTTCAATATTACTCTCACGCAGTTCGATCAGACTGGCACAATTGTCGATTTCCTGTCTCACTGCATGCATATGATCACGCAGTTGTTTCACTTTCTCTTGTTCCCTGGTGCATTCACTGCTCTTCAGATGGATACGCCGTTGCAATTCGTCCAGCTACGAGGGTCGAGAAACAAAAAGGAGTGAATAGGACAACAAATAAAATGGCAGATCAAATCGACTGGGATAAGCGGGGGGAACAGTGGGGGTATTTTTGAAACACGGAAAAAGTCAATACTTCCGCATAAACGAACGTTCCTTTCAAATAATCTTCGGTATTCATGACAGTTGTTTTCAGCCTTGAGTTGCATGAAACGAAAACCTACCTGTAGAATACCAGTAGAATAGATTTTAGGATTGCTGATATTCAAGATGCCCGTTGAGGTATTCTTACCAAACTCCATGTTATCTAAATCGAAACAACGTTGACTCCCTATCATTTTCACATTCAAACACGGTATTCCACCCGTGTACTCTCATGAATTCAGCTCATTTCGGGCTTTAATCAGACGTGACTGTTCAGCAGGAAGCCCCATAATCCATATCTGAGGTACTCATCCATCAATTCAGTGAGAACATCATCTAATGAGGACAAACAGAACCAAAATTGTGCGTATGGTAATTTGGAGTTGTAATCAATTCTTTCTTTTCTCTGTAAAACTTAGTGAATGATTAAACAATTGATTTGGAGTGACCATCCTGTGAACCTCACCTCAACGCACAATCCTCAGATCCTCCAGTCCATCGTACATTGGATGAACTGAGAATTGTACGTAGACGTGAAGTTCGAAAAATGGTCAGTTCAAATCAACATCGGTTATCCCACATCACTACTCACAATTAGCGGAGTTAAATGTGGTTTAAACAATGGCCTAGTTCAAAAAACGGATTTTATTAGCAATATCATTTGTGCTGATGATGTTAATATTGACACTCACATTTTTTCAATTGTATTTTGTGTAACTTTTGCAAATGAAGAAGCTGGTAAGATAAAACAATGGAAATCTCGAAGCAGCCTGAGCTTTCGAATTTGTAAATGATGGGGGTTGCAGTTGTGAATATGGGTTGACCAACGAAGATCGTTATCTGTTAGTACACCAAAATGGTTGCGAGAGTTCACCGTGGATAAAAGGTTGTTACCCCTCTATCACTGTAGGGTCTATCACGAATGAATAACGTGCAGAGCCATATAAACATTCAACCCTTTTAGCTGGGATTCAAACTCAGATCCGATTGGGAGAAAAAGAACAGAATTTGAAAAAGATTATCGCTCATGGAGCTTAGATCGGAGAACGAAGAAAGTAAACAAGGGAGCGGATTTTAGCATAAGTGAGAAATACAGAATAATGAATTAACAACAACAACAACAAGCACACGTGTCATATTTTTCACTTTTCTAAAGAGAATGCATGCTGAATTGTTTGAATTGTTTGACAATTCAAACGGCTGACACAGTGCAGCTTTTTTCATACCGTTCCCGGCTCACGTTGTGTGCAACGCAACAACCCCACTACCTAAAAGGTGGTATATTTCTCTGTATATTCCTACAATCCTTGTTTCACGGTTCCATCGCGTTTTTGCTACTATACTTCGGAATGAGAGTAGATCAGTTTCGTAAACCAGATGTTTATTCCCTGTTTGATGATCTTCTTCTTAATGAAAATCATCTGTGCTTTGCCAATATGAATCATCTGTACCATGTAAGTATGAGATGTGTATTTATCCATCAAACAATACGCAACAAGGTCACCGTATTACAACCACGGGAACAACGACATCTGCACAATACACATCTCTACACAATGCACTGATTTGCTTGTCCAATCAGACCACACTAGCCAGTGATGCCAACGCAAGATACCGTGTGTGTGTGTGTGTGTGTGTGTGTGTGTGTGTGTGTGTGTTGGGAGTCGAAATCCACTAAGGGTCTCTGGACGTGTTTCGCATTCGCCTTACCAGACTCCCGGAACGCAACGTTTGTTTCAACACGAAACAGTTCCCAATTGTTTCAGTCTTTCTCCGGATATATAGTCAGACCTTTATCGATGAACCCGATAGGGGAAGTCCATCGTGGTTACTGAATCGAAATTCGGCTCTTCTATGGCTGCATTATTAAATATCACTGAATAATATAATTTTAATAGCAAATTAGTTCGATCACGGCCTCACCACACTGCTTTATCTTTGTAATGCATTTGTATTGCATTGAATTGGATTGGACTGAGTCGGATTTATGGTTATATATTATCTTTCAGCCTGACAGCTTTTATTAAACTTTGGTCTTTATTCGGTACGTTTACCTACCATTTAAGACCGGTGTGTAGATTGAATGCCGCTGTGTTGAAAAAGTAAAGAAATATATAGATCTTGTCCATTTGCATAAGATAACACGGGCGGATTCTGGTATAGAACCATTATACCTTTTTCTTTTTTCCAATATGTAGGATATTTTATTTATTGTTATTAGTTGTTCATCGTACGGAAAAATGTAGTGAAGCGATCTCCGAAAAACGCGGCCAAGCTCCGAGTGGGAGAATGAAAACGGTCAATCCGGAAGGATATACTAAATATTGTTTGGCTGTTTCAGGAGAACTGAACATTGTGACTGATCTAGTGGTAGTTTAGATGAGTCAGGTAGATGTGAATAAATTCTTTGATGACCTTTCTCCTTCACAGGAAATGCTACTGGCGAAATGTGTGACCATAGGTGAGAGGCAGGGTCCATGCAGGAATTTACGTGTGCTAATGGCTACTGACGGACAATGCAGTAGTCAGTTTCTAAATACGACAACCTGAAAGTTGCTGTATCTTATTGTAAACACCAAGTGAATTTGAACGGGCGAGTTGAGTTAAACGATCAGCAAACAAACAGACTAATTCTGACTTTCATTTCCTATCCTAAACTCATTTACAATACTCGTTTCTTCACGCTAATGTTTTCTGTTTTCATGCGTAGTTCGATCGCTTGTTGTTGTTGTTGTTGTTGTTGGTGGTGGTGGTGGTGTGACGGACAACTGTTGCCACAACCAAACCCCTAGTTTCACTCCCATTGATCGCTCGATCATCTTCAACACCCAACTTTTACTAATTTCTTTTTGTGAGTCAAGCAGAGACATTGGTGATCGAAAGTCTAAATAGAAGGATACAAGCACTGTAATCTGTTAAAAAGTAAAACTATTGATTTTACTGGAGGCGTTTCATAAAAAAGAGGATAAGAATGTGTGACCAACCTAATCTTACATATGTAAAATTCAGAATTCACACTTGTAAATGGAAGACTTTCGGATGGAATCAAAGCAGGAAATGCAAATTTAACTTCAGAATTGTGGCGGAAATCTGGAGTAATTTTCAGGGGGGTTACCATTCCACCGGATATGAGGCTGTCAGTCTAAGAAGTTACTGATTGCTTCATAAAACGCTTCCTCTCTGTATTGTATAAGATGCATTGTGTGTTGTTTGATATCATGCTGTAGACCATTATTTGTCACACTTTGCGAAACAAACCACGGCCTAACAATTTTGCATAAGAAAGAGTTCCATGTATGATTTCTTCGTTTGCGGGATAGTTCTAGGTTTCCCATGCCAAGGCCGATAAGTAAAAGGAAACAAGAAAATGGATGATGAAAAACGGTCTGATAAGTTGCCCGGTGGCCAAGTGGGTAGCATGCTTGCGTTCTGCCTGTGAGGTCCCGGGTTCAATCCCCAGTTGGGTAGATGGATTCACAATGCTGATGAGACCTAACCAGGTCGGGACAGCTGTCCAGCTCTTCCTAGCTTTTCAGTTCACGCTTCATTTTCTTTTTACACGATGAAGTCATCCTTGAAATTTCAAATAAATCATCTTGGGAAATTTACAATCAGAGTCTTCTAGTTAGTCAAGGCTTGGGCAGCATTTCAGTGTGGTGGTGTGCAAAATCCAAAATTTCCTAATCCCAAAACATCTTCAAGTGGATCTATGCAGTAGAATGCATCCACTTCCTTCAGTTTAGTAAGAACACAATAAGTTAGTTTATTTCCAATGTGTATACTATCTATTTGTTATCATATTAATTAGCTCCATTTATTGCCCTCTTATTTGGGTATCTAGCACCTCCTGGAAGAGAGTTTCTGGTCTCAGACCAGACAAACCTTCCATTATCTTAAAGATTTCTATAATAGCTTCCAGGAGTCTTATCTTTTTCTTAAGAGAATAGTCCAAGGTCCTGAAGCCTCCGCCTACAGTCTTTGTCCTATCTACCCTAAACCATTCTGTTTGTCAGCGATGGAACGCGCTCTAAACAGACAACATCCATTTTGAAGAATGTTGACTATCCATAGACACAATACTTCAAGTGGGTCCTGACTATAACCTTGTACAAACGTATGAATACTGAGGCTTACGGCATCACAACGATGAGCTTATTCTGAATAGCTCATCCCTAGCTTTTAGTGTTACTCAGGCACATTGATCCGACCATCCAGGATCGGCTATTACCAGAATTCCAATGTCTCTTACATCAAAAGCTTGAATATCCTCATGATAGCATTGATAAAACGAGGCGGTGAGTGAACAATTGTTTTTTGATATCCCAGTCATGTTCTTACATATCATATAGTGGAAAAATTCTTACATAATGTTAGCCATTGGCTCAATTTAAGATTATTATTAGGAGGCAGAGAGTACGTTTTTGGTATGTCTTGATGAGTCAGAAGAAACATGCAAGATCTATACAACGCATTACATGTGTGAACTGGAAGGAGCGGGGTACGAACAAAAAACTATCACATGGATATATTGCACACACCGATCATCAGTGAGTAGTTGACTGGGTAAGTAATTGGTTGGAATGTCGGTAAATGGACGACGCGCATATGAGAGATTCTATGCGGAATTCTGTTTGAAGTTGTCAAT